TGCCTCATGAGGTTTTGGTCTGAGCAGTGGTTGGTGCCTCTTCGAGAGATGATATGTCTTGGCTTCTTATGTGGCAAAAAGTCAATTACAGCCACCCCCCTATGCTACTGCTGATAGGAATTTCTTTACCAGTATGGAAATACTGTTTATGCCTGTCCCAAATACACCAAAGCTGGTAAATATGTGTACTGCAAGCAACATTGTTGGCAAAGAATTTCCCACCAGTAGCAATAGGTGAAGTCTCTGTCGCTCAAGCATCAGGAAGTTGTGGGAAACCAAACTGGTGTTCAGGCTAGAGGCCTCAGAGATAACGCTGGAGGAAGCAATGCTGTGGTTCCTGTATCACTGCAGTCAGTGCTTGTGGAAAATATTGCCTCTATTGCTGAGTCACTAAATTGTTCCATGTGCTGGCTTCCGGCTAAGTAAACACAATGGTTCAGCAGTGGGAGTAATGTCTTGTGTCAGGCAATTTGATGACAATGCCATTGAAGAAAAGAGGATAATTCCTTTCCCTTCATCTTACTTTCTTTCACCTTTGTCTCTTGAGAGCAGGATGTCTCTCCTCCTTCCCAAGAAGATGGGAGAGAGATGAAGGGAAAGCGCTTTGGAGTGCAGATGCCTGTTAACTTGCTGGGCTTAAAAGGATGCAGCAGTAACTACAAAGTCGCCGATTACAGTGGATTCACAGTGCTTCCTGTAGCTCTTAACTAGTGTCCCTCATGAAGACTCAGTTTCAGTGTGGTGTGTTTCTCATTGTCACAAGCATCTGTGCTAGCAGTAGCAAAAATAAATGGCACGTTCTTCTCTACTGTAATGCTTTTTCCCCTTTTTCGTTTTTTTGTTTGCTTGTTTCATTTGTTGTTTATTAAACAAGCCTTAAGTAATTCTTTTGTCTTGGGAGGGTGAGCAAATGCTCTCTGGACAGACATGGTACCCTCGTGTAGTGGATGCAGGGATATTGCAGGATAAACTGCACCTTATTATTCATTTGCGTCTAATTTTGCTCTCATATAAGTCTCTGTTATTTCTAATGTATTTTCCTCAACAGTAGCTTCAGAGGGAAAAAGTCAATTCCAAAAATACCCTTCCACAGGGTTAAGAGAAGTGGGAAAAGCATGGGAAATAGTCCCAGTGAGCAATTCTTCTACCCTTTCCATGAGGCAAGGAAAAACAACCCCATTCTGCAGAAGTTCTCTTACATACAGCCTTGGGATTGTGTCACAGTGGAGGAGAAATGAATGAAGAGACTCCTTCTCTGAAAGTCTGATATCAGATCATTGCTTTACTCTGACTTCAGAAATTAATGATCTATCTATATACTGAATGTAGACTAGAATAAAGCCCATTCTTTTAGGGGCCATTTTTCCATGTATCCTAACTTGCCTTTCAGTGCTCCTCAAATGCTCTGTTGTGTGAACTCCTCACTCGCTCTAGGATGAAAACAACTACATTTCCTAACTAGCCCCAGGGCTGCTTAATAAAACATCACAAGTCTGTTAAAAGGGGCATTGGCACTTTCTAAAAGCTGGCTGGATTTGTTTTTAAACCCTACGCTGATTCACGATTCAACTCTTGTCAGCTAATTTATTCTGGACCATTTAGAAAGAGCAAAAGCAGTTCAGGAAAGGAGAAGAGCAAATTTTCCTATTAGGTCTTAATGTGAAGTACAGACTTGGTCTCTAATTATGTGTTCTCTAAAGCAGGGAAGTCTTAAGTGGTAGCTTGTAAAAAACAGTATCTCACTACTTATTAGTCTCCTTTCCCATAGAGCAAGAGTTCCTGCTGGTTGTGCTGTCATTGTTCTCTTTGTTTAACAACTACGTGCGTAGCAGAAATGCCCGCCACTTATCACAAAAGGTAGGGGAGCCAAACCAGATGGTCTCCTGCTGTGAGGTGGGGAATGTTTTTGGTATGTCTTGTACCAGCACGTGGCACAATAACAGTGGTGTCCTTAGGGTTTCAACACAGAATTTATCTAATTAGGCAGGAGTGATGTAGGATGCAAGGACAAGGGATTTTTGACTCAATCTGTTTCATTCAGGGTAAAGATATCTGCATTATCCTCAGTCCTTGAAGTTAGCCTTGCAAGAGTATCTAAGAATTTAGAAAAGCCCAGTTTATGGAAAGTTAACTGCTGCCAGTACTTCAGCTGGCTTGGGGTAGAGAATATCACCTAGATCAGGAGTGTAACATGTTTTGAAGGAAGACTGAGCAAATAGCAGCTTCTCTTGAGCTTCTTGCTTGCTACTTCAGCAGCTGGGCAGTGTCCGGTTAGGAAATCTTATTTTTGAGTAGCAGTTCCATAGCACAGAAGAAAATCTGGAAGATGAGGTGGGTCTGAACCTTAATGACAATTAGCTGGTAGGTACAGGTTTGTTGGACAGCTGGCAGACAGAAAAACTGAGTTGTTCCAGCATCAGGTCTGTTACTGCAGCCCTGAACACAAAAGCTGTGTTGCTGATGTGCTTGAGGCGCTGGAGACTGTTTCCACCAAAGCAATGAGGGAAATTGGAGGATGCTGCTTTTTAAGACTGTCATTGGTGGGTTTTATGTCTTGCTAATACTGAGATCATTAAACATGTTGCCATCCTGTCTCTTTAGGAGAATATTTCTGCTAATTGACAATATATTTTTACCTACAAAGAACATGTAGGCAGGTAAAATTATATTTTTTGACAGTTGTCAAATTGCTCTGCTAGGTGATAAAGACAGTTAAAAACCACAAGATTTTTGTCATAGATGGAACTGAAGGATCTATTCCTAGGAATGTTCAGTAAAAAATAGAAAGAAAGCCACAAAACCCACGGTGAATGGAATAAAATGTCAATTGATTTTAGTTGTCCTATAAGAATAAAATCTACTACAAACATCTTTCTGTTAGTGTTTTTAACATGAATGTAGTTTGGGACTATTTGTCTGTTTGGTAAATTTTATAATGCTCTGCATTATTCTCTCTATTGTAAACTCTTACATAGTTTCTGTTGTCATTACAAGACTGTAGTGATTTCTATTCAAGATTCGCATAGTTCACCATCCAGTTGACAGCATGAGATACCAGAATTTTGTTGAATAGAGCAGTGTCCAGTGATTCTGCTCTTCTGTTTCTAAGCCAGTCCCACCTAGCATTTAGAGCAGTGTTAACTTGGAGATCAGTTGTAATGTCAGGTTGTGCTTGTGGGCAGTAAGAATAATTCTTCCCTTCTCTCCTCTGTTAAATTCTTCTTGTGTTCTTCCACTATGTGTGCCTTCAGACCTCTTACCACCACCTTTAGTGCTGCATCCTAAATCTATCCTCTTCCCTACCTATTCCTGAGTGTAGCCAGGGGTAGCTGTGCCTGTTGATCTGTGGCTCCGAAGGATCTCCATTCATGTGGAATTTAGATCCTACTTCCTTTCTACCTGCAAGTGCTGCCTCTGCTGGCAATGGCGTGTGTCCTGTGGTTTAGGATTTCTTCACTGTAAGAAACTCCATGGAGTGATCATTCAGCTGATTTACATCTGGCACAGGAATGTGTAGCACTCACTGAAATTTTAAGTCCCTCTTATCAGACAGTTTATGATCTCATCACCCTAAGCATTACCAGTGCTTAGTTCTGCTCTGGGATCTATGTATTTGACCCTGTGCTCCATATGCAAATGAAATAACTGGATTCCCAATTATGGCATGGTGTGTTAGTAATTTTGCATTTCACATGGGCCTTCCTGTATTGAGAGAAAAATCTTCCAGGACTTCTAAGGATCCACGATGTTAAAGGGAATATTTGTGGATTTTTATATTCTGGTAGGAGCACTAACCTCTTTAGAGTTAAAGGAAAAAAGCTCAGAAAATATGTCCACATGCCAAGTTAACTTTATGAAGTGGTTTTTCTCTTCCCTGCGTTCCCAGTGCCAGAATATTTCTCACAAGAGAGTGTTCTTGGTAACCTGCTTATTGTACCACTGCACTGTGCTTCTGCAAGAACACTAGTTGCCTGCAGCATATCATCAAGGCAATAATGGCGTTGTCAGAGACCATTTTTAACACTTTCGTTGTCCTAAATTTCTAATTGTTTTGCTCAATCTTTCCCCTTTACCTCTTGGCTTTCCATTTTCAATAAAAAATGGCACTTTTTTCCCAGTTAAAAATAATAGATGCCTGTCAGAATAATGGTGTGTGTCACCTGCCCAACCCTTGCAAGGAAAATTGATGAACAGACATTCAGGGTACCTTGATCAGCCAAGCAATTAGCTTATTCTCTGACTGCAGAACTTGGCTCTGTGAGTTTTATGCCAATACCCTGTGTTCCCTAGTTTGCTGGTGTGGGATCTGGTTGGGTTGAAAGTGCTGTTTTCACAAGGCATTTTTCTAGGCAATTCAAGGAAGAACTTGGCCTTCTTGAGAGTTACAAAATGCAGTTCACATGTTGGATTTCTTTCTTTTTCTTACAAGTAACTTGGCCTTATGGTATGAATAAAAACACCTTTTTCAGGAATTTGAGAACAAACATAATGGTCCAGTGTTGTGGGGATTTTTTCTTATTAAAATAAACACAGAGAATAAAAGTAAATTTTTTTCCATGTGTGTTTTAATTACTTAGCTTTTGTATGCTTAATACAGCAATCTAACCAGAAGTAGTTGTCTGTGGTTTGTTTGTTTCCCAATTTTCAGTGATAGTAAGCTCATAATTGGCAATTCTGACTTGTATTTCTGCCTTGCATTGACTTGTTGTGCGATAACTTGTGTATTGTTCTTCTGTCCCATTTTCTTACCTGATAAAAATGACACTGATAATTGGATCTGTGTTGCAGAAACAGTGAGGTTTTTTTACTATTTTCTTGGGGGGGTGGGAGGGGAAAGAAAATGCTTTTATGTCAGTTGTATATAAGTAGCCACTGAAAAACCTGATAGTCTGCAAGCCATTCTTTGGTGACTTCCAAACCATTTCTAGATTAAGCCTTTCTCAAATCTGATTCTGATGGTACTTTCAAAATCACCCAGACATATTTGTTTTGACTTTCAGGTAGTTTGAAATAAGTATACCCAGCTGTTTTGTGGTTCCAAACTACAATTATTCAGGAAGTTGATTCTGCAGCTGCTCATGAATGCAGTCTGAAGGCCTGCAGTGTGTCGGTGAGCATCGGTCAGGACCCGAGGGCATCCAGTAACCAGGAAAATGACTGGCTTCCTCAAGGAACAAACAAAGGAGAAACCTTTATTACTTGTGTAGCTGGAAGGCAAAGCAATACAATCTTGCCACCCGGTTAATTTAAAGAAGCATTTTTCAAAATACCTCTTGACTGTGTGGATCTTGCAACTCTGACACAAACGTGCCTTTGGACTTGTGCAAATAAATCATTGGAAGAACGGATTGGGCAAAGTGGTCGTTGAAGGAGTGACTGTTGGAGAACCATGACGAAGCACCTGGAGATGATCAATTTGTCATTTTTGTTGGAACATGAAAGGGAAACAATACTGGGAGTACTGAAGAGAGATGAATATTTGAAAAAAGTTGAAGATAAAAGAATAAGGTAACTCTTTTTGTCATTGCTTTTAAAAATATGGCCAGTAGATACTTTTGTTGTACCCAGTGAAGGTTTTCTTGATGCCTCAGGAGAAGGATGAGTGTTGGGAGAAGACACAGTTAATTAGAGGTCCAAGTAAAGTGTGCTAAAAAGAAAATTTCTTGCTAGTGTGGCTCTCTGTAAACCAAAATGATGTCCATCGATGCAAAGCAAAAGTGTAAGAAAGATAACAAGTGCAAAACTACGCAGCAGTGGTTTATAAATTTCAGATTCTGTAGATTTAGTTTGCTGAATTTCCCCTGTGAGTGGAAGGCTTTAGTAAGGCTCTTGAACTTTTTTCCTCTGAGAGGTGCTGTACATGTGTGCCTCCTGAGATGACAGCAGCAGAGGAAGTTTGGAAGGTGTTAGAGGAAGAGAAAGTTGGCATCTGCCTCTTCAGGACTGCATAAAGCCTGGGGAAAACGTGAGATGATGACCTTTTTTTATTTTTGCAGTACTTACAGAATAGGGAGGAGGAGGGGCATTTCATTTTTCAAATGGCTTAGATTTACTAATAAATAAATAAAACTGGTAATCTCAGGTGGGGATCTCAAAAGTAGAGCTCAAAAGCTGGGAGAAGTAGAATCTCAGGGTATTAACAGAGTCCATGAGTTTTTTCTGAGGAGAAAAAATAAAAATCATAGTTCAGAGAACAATGTGTTGGAGGCAGGCTGAGAGTCAGCTATTTTAGCTGATTCAAATTGAGTTAATGCAGCTAAGTATCAATTCTGCGAAAGTTCCTCTGCTTTTCCAGGATGTTCTTGCTACTTCCTCTCACTTCTCCACACTGCCTTTTTAAACTTTTATGCAGTGCTTGTTCTTAGAATTAGGCTTAGTGTGGATGGATGCTGTTGGCGAGGCTGCTGAGTGTAATGGATGACAAAGGGAAGATTTCTGGCCTTTGCTGGTTTCTTTCCGTGTATTCCAATCCAGACCTCATTGTTTTCCCCTTTGATTTTCTAAAAAGCATTTTAGGCACTGTGCGTTGCACAGATGTACGTTCAGCACCTGCTGAGGCTTCTATTGTGTAAAACTATTACTCGGAAATCTATGCAGAGTTAGCCACTGTTGTTGAAAGTTTTTCTCTGTCAAGAGAACCAAGTCTAAGTGCAATGCCCCTGTTGGTGTGCAGCCCGTTTACCTGGGGCAACATAGTGGCTTCTCTGGGTGGGCTAAAACTGGTTGCTTCTGCTGCTGTCAGATTGGAAGGAAAAGTGTTTCTTTATGGTGGTGTGGGCAAATTAATCATTTTATCTACTTAATGGTTTGTCAGATGAAGAAGAAAACAGACGGAGCACTGTTTGTTCTAGGCGTTGTTCTCCATTTAGTAATAGGATAAAAATTTCAAATTAAGTATTTCAGTTTTCTAAAGTAGTGGCCTTGGAAATGTGTGATGAGCCACTAGTCATCTGTCAAAGGCATCAGTATGAAGTGCATCCTAAAACCCCAGAAATCTTTCTTTTCTACTACTGTCATTTTCCAGTCTCAAGTGGAAAGTTGAGACTCCTGAGGTTTTGTGGGTTTTTTCCTTGTTTTGTTTTAATTTCTTAGTTTGGGGAGTTTTATTGCTGTTTTGCTTTAATATGCTGTCTTAAACCCTCAAATTTTATGGGTTTTTTTGATACTACTGGAAGTCACTCTGCCAAACCTACCAAGTCTGAGAACCCAAGGCATCTTTGGAAGATACGATTCAGTAAAGCCACAGGTGGTATTGGCTTATCAGTGTTTTGGTACAAATGGAAGGAACACCCTAAGAAAATGCTGAAAACTGAGTTAATCTGAAATATGCTAATTAGGATAACTAATGGTGCAAAGTAATGCTTATGCATATTTCTAGCACCTGTAAATGAACCAATTGGTTTCAGATTCATTGTCACTAGACTATATTGTGCCTGATAACCATGGAATGTACTCTATAAAGGACTTCCAAAATGTAAAAACTATAAAGAATTGGATGGGTATCTGCTTCCTAGGAGACTTCTTAATTTTTCTTTCTCAATACAGCTTGGCAAGGATATCTAATTGTGCCTTGTAACTATACTTCAGAGGAACATTTGTTGTCTTTGGAATTCCATTTGGTACAATCTGTTACATATTTTATTGAAGTACTTTGCAAAAGAGCAAAGTGTTTATTTTTTCAAGGCATTTTTCACTCTTGAAAGATGTTTACTTGCATATTGTACTGAAGAATTTTTATTTGTCTGTTCCATTCTTTCTGAATCCATCTTGATAATTATTTATTCCTGTTTCTGTTAGTCTTCAAAAGACTGTAACTTGAGAGGGCCTTGCTATTTAACATGAAAGCAATGGTAAATGTAGGAGGATGTCCTAATAATTAAATTGTTAAGGGTTATTTTCACTATTACTGCTCATACTTGTGTTCTGGAATGCAGGTGGCTGTTCTTGTATTTTTATTTGATGCACAAATATTTCACCCACACGTGAGAAAAACACAGAAGGCAGCAATTTCCCTTTCTGGGGTCTAGTTTTGATAATACAAATACTCAATCTCTTTAATAAAGATTACAGTTAATTTTCTTAACTTTGTTTGCATCTTGCATGACTGGAAGTTTTCTTTGAATATTGACTTAAAGCTGTTAGTAGATTACTTGTGCAAATCATCTACAGTGTTCTAAACATTATGATGCTTTTGACATCAGTTAAATTATCATCACAATTTTTTTCAAATTCTAAGATTATTTGAGTAAAATCATTAAACATAGCTACAACAGCTAAAAATAGTGAACTTGACCACACTGAGGGTAAAAAAGTAGGGTTGTTTTTTTTAACATGTGAGTCAAGACATGCTGAACTGAATGTGTTGAACTGAAACTTGTATCTTTGTCCTTATCTCCCCATCTTTTTACTATGTTGAAACAGTTTTGTTCTTTTAAGACCTTTTTTATGAAAAAAAAATCATATTTAATGTGTAGTGTGACAGGTCGTGAAGTCAATATGAAATTGAAAGGATGTATCTGTGGAAAGGGGGATGTACCGTGGAATAGGTGTGTTCCATTGAACTGCTGATGCTTTGTTCCTGTTCCAACAGCAGCCCCACTGCCTCCTCCCCAGCTGTGGTGGTACACAGGGAACTGGGTCTGATGGTCGTGGTATTTTGTATTTGGAGCTATTTGGCATCTTCACATCAATATTATTCTGCTGCCACAGAGTGCCACACATGGCACACCACTAGTGTACGTTGCTTTCTTACCTGAACTGTTTTCTTAAAGTTTAAAATACAAAGGTTCTTTTCATTCTTTATGGAGCAAAGCCATGAATGCCATGCTTTTAGAGGGGGGGATATAAGTGTAATAGTTGCTGCACCGAGGAAAAAAAGAAGGAACATGCCGATTTCTTCCAAGAAAAAGGCTTTAGTGGGTTATTATTGAATCATTCCCTCAGCATTTAGGTTGCCAGAAGAATTGCACCAACTACAGATCTGTATTGACAAACAAAGTCAGCAATTTAACTAAAATGGCACCTCCTTATCAGTCCAAAGAGATCCATGGAAGCAATTTAAAGTATTAACTTCATTATAATGCAGATGAAACTGTTAGCATGGACACCATCATGTGGTAGCTACAGGCAAGTACTTTGGAGGAAAGAAGTTTGAGGAATGGGAATAGGTATTGACCTATCTGCTGACTGTATATTTGGATTTGTTTATAAGCACAAAATGCTTGCAAGCTAGCATATATAGCATGGTGCATGGCCTGTGATTTTATAAAACTGCCTATAAATATTTGAAAGAGAGAGCCCTTATGTTAAATCATATTCTCATTTGTACCTATATGGGATGTAACAAAGTTGCTGCCTGGTGGCTCAGTCATTTGGAAAGTGAATTTAACAGTTTAGCACATTGTTATTCTTTGAAGTAAAGAGTTCTCCATCAAAAGTAGTTACTAATGCCGGTACTTTAGGGGTTATGTTGCTTGTTTTGGTGTCCTGTGTTCTCTGAGAATGATGATCCTCCAATGCTGAAAGAACTTCTGATGGTGACTAATTCTCATATTCTGAGTACAATTTATTTTATCAAAGACTAGTAAGAAATCAACAAGCAATTTTTTTTTTAATCTTAGTAATCATTTTTATTTGAGAATATGAGAGAGTTACTCAGAAAAATGTTCATCTGTGAAAGTTTATCATTATGGTAACCAGTATCATTTCAGTTCCTATGCCTTGCTTTCCTTTTTTTCACTGGCCTCTGCATTCGTTATGCCAGATCTCTCTTTCTTTGTAAATTCACTTTTGCCTTTTCCTGTCTCCTTGCATAGTCACCAATATGCCTCCAATATGCAACCTTTTATCATGCAGATATGTTACATAAGCAAAATGGGAAATTCTGTGCTTATTAAATAATAGTCTAAAAAATACTTCAGGTACTCAAGCAGATTTTACAATGCAAGGAGATCTCAATGGAAATTGGTAATAGCCTAATTCCTTTTGTGAACTGTCAATAGTCTTTACTGTTACTTTTAACATACTGTGCCAGACAGTGGAGGGAGACTGGTTGAATTTGTAGAAGGTACTGAGGATCAGTCTGGGGAGGAAAATTCCTTTCTTCCTCACACTCCAGAAGTATGTTGATGCCACTTCCTGCACAGAAAAATTCTCTAGTATCTAAGTTAACAGTTGCACAGCTTCAGAAGAAGGATGAGTCTATTCTTCTGTGAAGAAACAATGTAATATATTTAATTTCTTTTTTTCTGCTAAAGTCTTTAATTGTTGTTGGTTGAAGATGAGGAGGGTTTAATTTTTTATGACTCTTTGGACTCTGGAAATTTAGAATGGCAAAATAAAATTAGGTATACTTGGATTTTGCTCTTTTACATTTTAAGAGGGAAAAGGTTTTTGAAATGAGAAGAAGGAATATCCAGGAGAAATTTAAAAATCAAACTGACGAATTATATATGCCATTGCATTTTGCAGTAGTTTGTTGTTTTTTTTTTTAAAGGGAGAGGAGATAAGGTAGAAAAAGAAATCAAAATAAAAAGTTTTTTGATATCCTACTAGAATGAAAAAAACCCAGACAAACCAGTCAGTTTGGTATTAAAAAAATTACCTGATTCAAAGCAAGTGGATCATGCTTACAGAGTTAATTTGGCACTGCTTGGGCAATGAGTGTCTTTCCTCTTGCAGTAGTATAGTTATTCTACTTTTCAGTATTTGGGGAATAAATATGCTCTAAGGTAAAGGATACGATTAAGAAAAAATGGATCTGTTAAGGTTTCTCAATGCTTCCTCTGCAGGGTTGTAGGGGTTTGGGAACATTTCATCTCTGGAGACTACATTTGTGAGGGGTCAAGTGCCTTTGGCTGCCTTGTAATTTTCAGCATCAGTAGGGAAGAATCAGAGTCCTTTAGGGACTCTTGAGTGCCCCTGGCAGGTGGAGGGCAACTGTGCCAAGAGCTTTGACTGCTGCTTCTCTGGGTGGGTTTTGCAAAATTGCAGTCCTTGCAGATTTTTTTTCCCCTCATCATTTCAAGACCTCAGATTTTCATATTTACTTGTTATATGGACTTATCCTAGGATCTGAGCAATTTTTCAAATTCAGTGTTGGCTAAGATTTGGGTATTGGGTTGGTTGGTTGGTTGTTTGTTTTTTTGCTTTGGTTTGTCTTCTGCTTTAACATTTTAGATGGGCCTCTTATGTCACCTTTGGAAAGGTTCAGATTAATTCATTCAGTATTACCTGAAATACTGGTTACAACAGAACTCCAACTTAACATATTTTCTCTGACAGTAGAGTTTAGACTACAGTTATTAGACAGTTTAGAGGAATGGCTACTTATTCTGTTATCTTTGGCAGAAAAAAATTTCTTTTTAATAGCCATCTTTTATCAAACAGCTGTTGTAGTAGATGGTTTAGAAACTCCAGTGCAGGATAGGATTCTTTTTTTCCCAGCAGCTTATTAAATTGACTTCTGCTGAGTTTTATTTTCCCCTTTATATTACTAGGAGAAGACTGATAAAGATTAATTCTTGTTTAATACTGAAGATTAAAAATATCTAACTGCATGCTTAAATATATTCCTTTGATATTACAGAGAGCTCAAATGTTAGAATGGCAAAAGGAAATTGGGTGTTTATAATACAGCTGGTTCCTGCCTTGGGAGATAAACATAGCTGTAAGTCAGTGCAGCTACAGGCTGTGCTTGTTATCCCTTTTCAATACTGTGTAACTGGTGCAGCTCGGCTCTGGTGGTTTAAAGGCTGTTTGATGATGGATTTTTTCAGATGACTCACCCACTTTCTCCTACTCTTCCAGGCCCTGGAGACAGTTCATTCTTTGTTTTCTTAAGATTTGAACATATTTGTTATAGTCAATCAGTAGTTCAGTTCAACAAATAATATAGGGAATGTCAAATGAAAGTTCATATCCAGTGTTTCTGTCCAGAAGTTGTTTGTTTGCTTTTTGATTTTTTTTAATTTTATTTGATTAAGGGAGTGGAGAAGCTGTGGGTTGATTTATTTTCTCTCGATTTCCTGGAAATCATCAAAGGCAGTTTTTATTCAAAAATAAGAAAACAAACACTTCTCAGAATTCATGCTGTTGACAGATCAGCTGTTACCTGATAAGAATTTTAGATTGTCTGTTGCATAAGAAGTGGGAAATCTGTTACAGTCACCTTTACTGGATAGTAGGAATGATGCCTTTTTAATGTCAAAAGAATACTGGTAAGTTTTTTTACATATTGATTTCTAAGCAACCATTAAAAAAATTGCTCTGTTTATTGGTTTGGGCTGATAGAGATTTTGTAATTGTAAACTGGAACTATTTAAAACACAGATTTTGTGACCAATAATACTTCTAACAAAGCACAAAAATTTGCAGGGAGGAGGGAGAAGGCTGTAATGGAAGGAGGTCAGTGAAGGTTTAGTTTCACCATTAGACACTTGGATGCAGTCCATAGAACACAGTGATAATTGCAAAAAAAAGATGGCATCACACTGCTTGTGAAGTTTCTGAAATGCAGTAGGTCACTATTGATCTAAATCTTTTAAGTAAAAATAAGCCACTGGAAATAAATCTGTTACAAAAAAAATGAGCCTTTGCTAGTGCTTAATATTTTAACCCTTTTGAGATTTGAGGATAAACAATATTCATCTTTTGAGTTGCCCTGACACTTGGGCAAAGATCACTTTCTCATTCTGCAGGTAGATGTTCAAGTTCCAAAAGAAACTGGAACCGAATTGGATGTGCCCCTTTGGTTCTGTGGCATGTGATTCACCAAATCTTAACAAACACGAATAAAAAGTGAAAATTCAATTGTCTCTGAACACTGGTTGGCATCTGTACTGTCTAAAAAGTCATAATTTAGACAGGAGACCATGAAAAAGATGAGGTAGAGAATGACCTATGATCAAGCAAAGAAGTGGTGGTCCAGGTTTGCAATTAAATTAATTGGGGTGAGGTGAACAGGAGGAAAAGGTAAGCAAGAAAACGGAGGCCAAAGGAAGGTTAGGAATGGAACAGAAGGCCTAGTGACAAAGCATGTGGAAAAGGCCAAGGTGCACAATGCCTTCTTTACCTTTAGCTCTCAGTCCAGAAGAAGCAAATGAATTGACTTTTGCTGTTTGAAGGTAGACTTGTTTAGAAGTCAGACCCAAGGAGAAGGTGGCAAAAGCAGTGAACATCTCCCTTCCCTGTGCACGATGGCAACATACAGCACAGGGGGCAGTGTCTGTAGTGCAAGGCACCTTTTAATCAGCATTTAGAGCTGGCTGATTGACGGAAGGAAATGGACGTGTGCCTACAACCAAATCTACTCTACAGGAAGTAGGGAGATGTAAAATGCAAACGATAAACTGCAAGAGTTAGCAAAGTACCAAGAAAGCTCATGAAGCCTGGACTTTTGAAGGCTATGGCATAAGAGAAAGGCTGTTTAGATTTGATGTGAGACAAGGGTCTGAAGCAGAATAAAGCAATCACTTTTGGATAGAGGTCAGCAGAGGAAAACACTTGACAGGATTTGTAGTTTGCTGCCTGGAGGGATTGGATGTGCCCTTTTTCAAAAGGGCACTGAACATCCACAGGTCAGGCGGCTTCAGAGCAGCTGTTGTTCATGGGATCCCAGCAGGAAGGAAAATGCAAGCCAACTTTTTAGGAAGGCCAATGCAAGCCAACTTTTTAGGAAGGCCATGTATCCACAAATAACCTAATTCTGTTAGAGCTGATTCTCTGGTGGCCCAGAGAATGTTCCCGACCTCCTCTACTGGGCTGCAACCTGTAATCTTTTGTTGGTTTTATCTTCCATATGTTTTTCTCCTGACATCATAGAATCATAAAATCAACCGTGTTGGAGCTGGATTTGCTTGGCTTTCAGAAGAGTAGGCAAAGGAGAGATGTGATTGCTGTCTTTAAGTCCTTAATGTGATGGTATAGAAAACATGGAGCCAGACTCTTTTCAGAGGTACACAGGGAAAGGAGAAGAGGTAATGGGAAAAAGATGAAATGTTGGAGACTCTGGTAAGATATTAGGAAGGATTTCTTTTATTATTATTTAAGACAAAACAAAACAGAATTAGATTCTGGAACAGGTGCCCAGAGCCACTGCAGACTCTACTCGGAGTTGCTCTGTTACTCGAAATTTAGTTGGACAAAGCACTGATCAATCCAGTCTGGTTGTCTCTGCTTTGGCTTGTGCGTTTAGACTACCTGACTTCCAATATTCCCTTCCAACCTAGAGGTTTCTGTGCTTAGGGTGGGAAGGGTAAGAGCTAGAAGCTGTGGCATGGGAGGGAAAACTCTGGAGTTGAGGTCAGAAATTAAGGTGCAAATAGCTCTCATTGAGAGGTTTATGTTGTGGTGGGGTCCTGCTTAAGTCCCTGTTTTGGGAAGATAATCATCAAAAACTGCCTCTCTAATCATCTTTCTTGCCTCTTTCTCTTTGAATTCCTTTTTTTACTGTTGGAAATGTAGTAGTTATATCTCACAGCTATTTTCTTTTTGAAGACCCAACTCATACACAATTGAAATTGCAGCCTTCAAAATTAGGTCTTAAACACAAATGTTTTTATTCTGTAGTCAGTGGCAGAACTAGTAAGATCTGCAAGTTACATTATTTAAACAAACAGTCTCTTTTTTTATTTCAATTGTTGCATTACAAAATAACATTACTACCTATTTAGATATTTTCGTTTGTGTTTTCTTTAAGGCTTTGAATACCTGATGCAGAATTGCATATGCATTCCTAACTAACTTTACATTGGCACTAGCATTACTTTACACTGCACACTACTTACAGGAAAGATTTTCTTCTTCTATGGATGCACTGGATGATCCCAATTCTGAGCTGCTGTCAAGATGGGCTGAGTATGACTTGAATTATTGAGGAGGGCAAGCAAAGATGCTTTACCAGTTGTCCAGAACTACTCAGCTCTCTGCAGTTACTTATACTGATCTATCACAAGATTTTCCTCTTGACTACGTGTCTGAGAGCTGGAGGATAGATTTATTCTCCTTTGTCATACGTGTGCCAGAAATACAGCAAATATACTTACTCATGTCTTATATTTTTAGCACAAAGTCTTTGTCTGTTAAAAAGTTCTTACAGATCATTGAGTTGAATCTCCAAATTTAAAAGGTTTTATTTTCTTACTTCTAGGAAATTGAAAAATGAGCTTCTGGAAGTGAGAAGGAAAGGCGGAAACCGTCACTGTCAACAGGACAACAGTAGGGTCTGTGTTCGCTGTCAGAAAAGCCTGGGCTTAATCTTCGACAGAGGAGACCTGTGCCAAACCTGCAAGCTTCGAGTCTGCAGTAATTGCCGTGTTGTGGGAACTGACGGGCAGTGGAAGTGCTCGGTGTGTGCCAAGATTGCGTAAGTTGTGCAGCTTTCGTAAATACCTTTGGAGATTAAAGCCCTGTAAGTAATTTTGTGCTGCTGTTATTGTTGTACATCCCCTTAGCACAAAAGCATATGTGCAGGGAATACACGAGGGAAGAGGTTTATCTGGTGGTTGTATTTGCTGCACTGTCTAACACTCTGTCTTTTCCGAGTTCCATGTTGGTTTCACCTGGCTTGTTTTCCAAAGAAAGCTGCCAGTATCACAGATTCTAGGCTGTTAGTGAGAATGACAGAAAATCAGTTATAATCCATTGCCAGTCTATTCACATTATGAAGACACAAGTGTAAGCATCAAATAATTGAAAATTAACAAAACAGAGTTAAGAACAAGTGAGGTCTGTGTGTTCTGACTGATGGAATAGACTGCACTGTAAGGAAAGAGATGTAAAAATTGTGAGTCCAAGCATTTCAGTCCATGTTTCTGTCCTTGGGGTTTTTTTCTGTCTTTATAGTAACTAAACATCTCTGTATGGAGAAAGAGGGTTTTATTTATATTACCTCTATTAGTGGACATTCTAAACTAAATTGTTCTATGATGGGAGGGAAAACAAAAGTGGATACCTCATTTCTCACAGTTGGAATACTGAGCATGGGGAATGAAGAAGGAAGGTAGTCAGCATTGCAGATGGACATCAGTGACAAATGGTGTCCCTATGGGGTCTGTACTGGGACCAGTGTTATTTAATATCTTCATTAATGACATAGACGAAGGGATCAATTGCAGCCTCAACAAATTTGCAGGTGACACCAAGCTGAGTGGTGCAGTTGAAACACCTGAAGATCAAGATTCTATCCAGAGGGACCTGGACAAGCTTGAGAAATGGGCCCATGGGAATCTCATGTGGTTTAATAAGACCAAATGCAAGCTGCTGCAGCTGGATTGGGGCTATCCCTGGTATCAACACAGGCTAGGGGATGAACAGATGGAGAGCAGCCCTGCTGAGAATAGTTTAGGGGTGCTGTTGGATGAAAGAGTGGACTTGAGCCAGCCATGTGTGCTGGCAGCCCAGAAAGTCAATCATATCCTGGGTTGCATCAAAAGCAGCGTGGGCAGCAGCTTGAGGCAGATGATGCTGCTCCCTCTGCTCTGCTTTGGTGAGACCCCACCTGCAGAACTGTATCCAGCTCTGGGGTCTCCAGCACAGGAAGGACATTGACCTGCTGGAGTGAGTCCAGAAGGGTGGAGCACCTCTCCTGTGAGGAAAAACTGGGAGAATTGGGATTGTTCAGCCTGGAAAAGAGAAGGCTTTGGGGTCACCTGATTGTGGCCTTCCAGTACCTGAAGGGAAATGACAGGAAAGACAGAGAGAAACTCTTTCCAAAAGCACGTAGTGACAGGACAAGGGAAAATGGATTCAAACTAAAAGAGAGTAGGTTTACATTAGATATTGGGAGGAAGTTCTTTCCTGTGAGGGTGGTGAAACAATGGAACAGATTGCCCAGAGACGTTATTGAAGTCCCATCCCTGTGAATGTTCAATGCCAGATTGGATGGGGCTTTGAGCAGCCTGGTCTAGTGAAAGGGGTTCTGCCCGTGGGCAGGCGGGTTGGAATTGAATGATCTTTAAGGTCCCTTCCAACCCCAACCATTCTATGATTCTATGAAGGTAGCAGATCACAGTGTTGAAAAGTAGAAAATCAGTATTCTAACACAGGATACCAAGTACATAAATAAAAAGAAATGTTGTATGTTCAAAGATATTTACTTGCTGTATTCTTGGAAGAATAATTCACTTGATTAATGTGGTAATATGGGATTTTGTGGCTTTACTCAGTAAGATAACCATGAAGGAAAGGAGAAATATGTTGGGCAACAGAACTCAATTATGTACCCTGATGTAAGAACTGGATGGTATAAGAAAGAGATGTCATAAGATAATAATGTTAAAAGGGGAAAGAATTAGAGGGATAAGTTTATTGGTTTTTTTATAGATCGTCAGACTAATGAGATCGGAAAGGTAAGGCTTTTTGTAAATTGTTTCAGGGAATGAAGGCAAATTGCTAGTTATGTCAGACTTTGGGTACCTAAACAGCTAGTGAAAATTTAATACAGTGGGGCATGAAGTTTAGGGTTTGTGCATTCTAACTTTAGCTTTAGCAGGTTGCATCTATTTTTAACTAGATGCCTTAACTTTCTCTGCATCCAGTGGGGCACATCCAAAGGACAATGTCTCACCTCTTAAGATGAAACATGTTCAAGTATTTGATTTGTGAAATGATTGTAAACTGGTAGGGACCTGGTTGAGCTCCCTGTAATTTGCTTCAATCAGTTTCTGAGATGATGTCAATGTTGTGCCTTTCAGAAATGATGGGGTACAGGTGAGATGACAGAGAGGAGAACAGCAAACATAATACTAAACTTTAAAAATGAAGAAAAGGAGAACAAGAGATTTGTTGACCCTGTCACACTCCCTTTAATTTCTCTAAATAAACTGAAACTCATGATTGCTGTGTTGTTCAAAAGCTGAGAGATGACAGGAAGATGAGTAAGAGTTGGTTTAAGAACAAAGAACATCAAAACCAATTTAATTTCTACCTTTGATAGGGTGACAGAGGAGTATCTGTTGATATCTTATAATTTAAGTTAACCTTTTGACACTTTTTCTTGTGTCATTCCAATAAGATGACAAATTAGGGAAGCTATGCCCTGGAATAAATTCTGCCAGTGTGATTGCAGACCTGCCTGGAAAATTATAAAACTCTGTTCTCAGAGTGGTTATGGACATTTGACCCTCAAAAAGCCCCAAGAAGACAGAGAACAAAAAAAGACTGCTGAACAAACAAATTAAAACAAAAAAGCCACACGTACAGAAAAAAAACACCTTCCAAAAAACCCCAGTGGGATAGAGCAGAGTATTTCCTGGCTTTTTACAGTAAAGTATTTTAGTTAAGGACCTTGATGCAGCAGATGAGTTTGCCAGTTGCACCTGCAGGTGACATAAAACTGAGAGGTGCTCCAGGCATGCTGAAGGACAGGATTAGGATTTGAAGCGATGCTTAGAATTTAGAGAAGTGGTTTGCAGGAAAAGCAAGTGTTGGCTCCCTATGGGCATGTGGAAGTACTACATTTGGGAAAAAACACAGCTGCAGAGACATAGAATGAGGATAAAAACAGCTTATGCAGCTGTTACTTAGGAAAGGATCTGGGTATTGTGCTGAATAAAAGCTGAACATGAATCAACAGTATTTTCCATTGCAGAAAAGTTGAGCATCACACAATGATGTTCAAGCTAAATTACGGCCTGCAAAATACGTGATGCAATCCTATATGTAGAGGACCTGCCCAGTTTTGTGTAGAACAGTTCATGTTGGCCAGCTGGAGAAAGTTCAGCAGAAAATAATGATCCCAAGCCCAGCACACAGTACATCCAGAGTAATGGAAGGAGTCAGACGTATTTGGCCAAGGCAAGAGAAAACTGAAAATAACTGACTTTTAAGTCTACGGAAGACAGGCACGTTGAAGAGGCATACAGGCTGTTCTATGACCTCACTTTGGATAAGAAAAGTTGTGTGATACTTATATTGCAGTGAAAGGATTTAGGTTCATGGTATGAACATTGATATAACTTGGAAAGGTTGTAGAATGTTGTTCTAAAAACAGGTTGGATAAACCTCTCTTTGGGATGATGACATATGACATCAGTAAAGACGATTCAGTTTTGGAGCTGAAAGATGGATGTGGCAACTTCTCAGAACGTGCACCACCACTGCTTCTCCTGCAGTGGTTGTGCTGCAATTCTGCATGCCAAGCAGTGGTTTTAGCAATCACCTTGACAATTAATTGTGGTTGAAGTCTGCCTTCAAGTTATTAAAAGCCATGGTGTAATTTGCATGTACAGTGCTAGACCTTGCACGTGCTAAAGTTTTGTCTTTGTGGTGTATCTTTATGAAATTGTGTCCCTTCTTTTTGTTCATATGCACTGTTTTTTCAAGACTATATGACAGTTAATGATCTGTAAAATGTCTTTTACACTGCTGGGAGTACACAGAGAGATTATCTTCTGTGTGGGCAGTGCAGAGATAGAAGTTTGCAACAGGCATTTCAACTACATCACTGTGCATAGTTCTAGTTTAAATTATTTCAGTTCTGCTTTTCTCTCAGGTGAGAAATGCAGGAGAAATCAGGATTTTTAGGCTTTTTGAATTACAGTTGATGGAGGAGCTAATTAATGCAAATAGAACCTTTGACAAGATGAAAAGGCAGAAGGCAAGGAAAAGAAAACAATCCAGTGTTAAGAGATATTTATTCAAACAAAAGCAGTAGGAGGGGAAAAATCTTTTAGCTCTGTAGCATTGATCTGCATACTATGTTTCTGTCTGTGAAGCTGGAATGTTTTACCATACTACTGGCTTTGCAAAGAGTGTTGGAAAACTTTTATTTTTGTCCCTCTCCTTTGTCCCCCTCTTAGCAGCCTTGGTGAATAAGACTAGATCAATATTACCTGTATAGACTCCAGCACCTGCTGTGCTACTCCATTAGCAGAGCCAGGCTATATTGTTTGTATGATGTAAATGTATGTTGTCATGCATACCATAAGACCTTTAAAAGCCAGGGAGAAGGGCTTATGCCCTTTGTGAACTCATTACAGCTTTGGTGCTGTACTAGTTCATGGCTGACCTCCAAAAATTGTTCTCAAGAGGGTCTGTCAAGTGCCACTTAAGGTGATGGTGACAGTAGTAACCTGTACCAGTCCTCTCATATAGCCATGCATTATACCTGCAGGAATATGTCCAAAAGCAAGTTTTTCAGAACCGTTCAGAAACCTACTGTATTACATCTGGTGTCAGTGAAGAAGGTCTGATATTGGGGGCAGTAGGGGAGCGTGTTCATTCAAAGAGACAAACACTGCAGAAACTACTGCATATATCCCTTGAATTACACAAATAATCCAAAACAGGTGCTGAAACAAACAACTTGCTGTGTCAATAAAAGAAAATGTGGGTAATATCATCCAGCTTCTGCCTGTTGCTTCA